TGACTGCTTGTCCCGTTTCCCGAGGCAGTGAAGTTGCACGGCTGCGTGCAGATCCTGGCGCTGGGTCCGAACTTCCAGTAGTACCAGCAGGGCCGTTGATCTCTGCCTGCCGGTGCTTCGAACGTGACCTGGATCTGCCACGTCTGAATCCTCGTCCTGGATTTCCCCCGTCAGCTCTGCTCAACCGTTTGAGGCTCTCGATTTCGCCTCGCATCGAGTTGAGTTTCTCGTCGAGGGTGAGGGAGAGTTGGGAAAGCTTGAGACTCAGGAGTGCCTCGATGCTGTGGACAGATGTCTCGGCAATCTGTGGGGCGACTACTGGAATCCTTGGCTTTAGGATCTGGATGGTCTTGTCGGCGAGTTCTGCGGCGTCCTCGAGGCTGGCGTTGTGTTGTGTGACCAACAACGCCTGGACGTCAGCTGGAAGGCGTGTGACCCACAGTGTCCGGAGGGTGTCGTCGGGGAAGCTGGATCCTGCCAGGTTCTTAAGGTGGCGCAGAAACTGAGACGGTTTCATGTCTCCCATCTCTGCGCTCTCCAGGAGTCTCCTTGTCTTCTCTTCCTGAGGAGCTGAGGCGTTTTATTAGTTCCGTCTTCAGGTGTGTCAGGTTGTCGGCTGGAGGGCTGAGGATGATATCTCTCACCTCGACGGCGTGCTTTGACTTGGAGAGCTTGCCATATGTGTCCGAACTTGGTCGCCTCGGAGGTGATGCCGGCCGCATGAAAACCGCGGTCGGCGATACTGAAGAATAGCTCTGGATCCTCCGGGGTGAACTCTCCTAGCTGGAGAGCTACCCGGCTGGTCTGCGCCATTCCCTCTACCAAGAGGTTCTGCTGCTGTTCTGGAGTCATTGCTGGCTGCGATGGAGGTGAGACGGGGTTGGCCGTGTCAAATAGAGCTGCTGGTGGCACGTTCTGCTGCTGCTGTTGCGAACCGTCGCCTCGCTCCAAGATCATCGGGTCCTCTGAGTTGCTGACTGCTCGGTGTCCACGATTCCAATTTATGATCACGTCGGGGTCATCAATTTGTGGAGGTGAGCAGGTTATTAATGAAAACTCAGAGATCCAACGTTGAGCGAAATATATTTGAGTTTTGAACGTTAATATTTACAGGAGTGGAGAGTTAGTCGTAAGAAGGCTTGTCCTCTCTGTCGATGTGATGTCCAGTGGTTGAGTGATCAGTGAGTGTCGAGTGAATGATTGACTGATGATGAGTGTGGAAAGTGTGGTATTTAAGGAGAGTGCAAGGATGTGATTGGTGGAAAATTTGGAGAAGGGATGAGTAAAATCCTGGCTTCCGATTGGTTCGGCGCTGTAAGTTCCCGCCGGTGAGCTGTGATTGGCTCGGGGGTCCCGTGGGGAAAATTCCGTCGTGACGTCACGGGCGCCGGTCAGGCGGACGAGGGATTATGGACGCCAGGTGATGATGAGGGATTAGGACGCATGGAGGATTATGGCAATAAACGGGTCATGAGGTTTATGATACGGAAATGGATTTCTAATGTGGGAATTGGCCCAATGTCTCGACAGGAAAATTGGGGAATTGGCCCAATGTCTAAAGAGGAAAATTGAGTGTGTATTTGTGTGCGTGTGTGAATGACAGAGATGTAGTGGAGACACAGTCACCACACCAATGTTATTATTCAGTCTCCATTTGTATTTTATTGTTCTCAATTTTCGTGCAATGAAACCCTTCGATATTGAATATCGAAGATTGGTAATTCATTACTATCGGTAATACAGTACTATCGGTAATACACCATTCAACTTCAAATACATTACCAACCTCTACTACCACGAAAAAGATCACGGAGTACGTGCTGAGCACCATTATTTTGAGACTTCGCACGGGAAAAGTCCGTGCGATGGCCTAGGCGGAACTGTAAAACGTTGCTCGAGCAAGTCTCCAAATGCAAGCAGAACAACAAATTACAACATCAGCACAATTCGCTGAATTGTGTCAAACGTCGGGAAGGGTATCGAATATTGAGGTAAAATACTCGCCCAAAGTTGAATATGAAGAAGCTAAGATTCAGCTCCACGATCGCTTGGCCAATGCGAAGACAATCCCTGGGACGAAGAAATTCCGATGCATCATCCCACAAATTGACGGTGTTAGTCACACCAAAACATTTTCTGATGCAGAGGATTTTGACGTTTACACGATTGAGAACTCCACTACTACTACAAATTCAAAGCGAAAGAGGAATAAGAGGCACTGAATTCACAATCTTCATAGTCTAAAATTAATTGTTCACTCACATAATCTATGTACAGAGAATGATAAATTTTTCTATAATTCAATTGCAGAATTTAGTTTTCAACCCCACTTAATCACCCTATTAATGACTTGCCCATGATGCCCAACGGCTCAAAATTTTCGTTATAGATGCTAGTATACACTCAATTTTTCTCAAGCAAAAAAAAATGGGCATACTCGAAAGATTATGAATTTTCAATTTTCTCCATGCCAAAAAATATATTTTTTCAAATTTGAAATTTTTTTGCATAAATTATTCAGAAAGTACACTTCATGACAAATAATTTTCACTACTGAGTTGTTCAAAAATAATTGTTCATTCAAAAGATATGATTTTTTGAAAAAAATCGAATTCGTAAAAAATTTAAAATTTCAAATGGCTATAACTCCTAAACCATAATAGCTAGAGCAAAAAATCAAAAAGCAAAATGCTTGTTTTGAAGAGGCCTATATGCTCTGTGAATGTCTAAACAACTGAAAAATATGAGATCCCACGATTTCCTCAGTTGAGCTGGAATCTCCTATATTTGTCTTTGCCACATCTCAAATTCTCAACGAAAAATAATATTTATCGGGTCTCATATCGATCTCGCGTTGTTGCGATGGCAGAAGTTGGGTCCATGACGGTATAAGCCACTGCAAGTTACACACGTATTTAAAGCTTCTTCTTCTCTTCGTTATGGTTATATCCTCACTCAAGATAGAGAGACAAGCACCATTACTCCTCTGAAAGAAAGGTCTTGTTATACCCTAGAGAGGGCGTTACTAGTTTTCCTTATTCAAATGTCAAAGACGATTTTTGATCAGTGGATATGCCCCGAGGAACTACCAATTTTTTAGCGTATTTAAAGCTGTTTAAAGCCCATTAATGCCATTGAGAAAGCAGATGTAATGGGTACCCACTATTCCGTAGATTTAGTTCTGCGTAGCCCTCTCCATGTGAAGATTTAAAGTATACTTGAGTAACCTAAAGATCCGGGCCCTAAAGGTGGACAAAGTTGCTGCGCACATTGCTGTGTGTGGACTTCAAAGCTGTGAACTGCCCTCTTGTGGAGAAAATGCGTGGGCTCATGTAGAAGCGGACATTTAGGCTTTGACCCAACTTTTTTCTGGCCATGGTCAATACTGCCCTTTCATTGTAATAACATGGCACATTTTATTGTTTTCTCCAATACCCCAGACCTTAAATTTCTGTTTACGGCAAATTCGCCAGCATGAAAAAAAATTACGTTCAAAACCTGTCCACTGTAAAGTCAACAGAAATTGATTCCATTAATAACTTGTGCTTTTGGAAATTGCTTTATTTCGGATATACCACGATAGTGGTATGGCTACAATGCATTCATTGAGATGAATGTACACGAAAAAATGTACATGACTTCTAAAAAGTCGTATATAACTTTTTAGCCATCATATATAATTCATATTATATTCTCGTATGGAAAGGGACCTTAGGAATAACCAAGGCCGAATAATGAAAATGTATGAAAAGAATTATTTTGTATTGACAAAGTAGCATTTTATTTTTGTATGAAAAGATAATACATTTATTCCATGGAGCGGGATATCCAACGCCAGATCATTTCAAATTTGGAACTGTCAGAAGGCCTCGAACATTGCAGGGAATTATTATTTTACACAGAGAACGATTCATGATATCAAACTTCACACTCTTTTCGTTTTGATTGTTTATGGTCAAGATGATGAATAGCGGGATAAATGGTTTTGATGATTCGCATAAAAATTATACATTTCTCTAATGTAATGTCATCTCCGTTATCCTCATAATTTATTTTTATTCGTGTTCTTCTATTGTTGGACATTTATGACTTGATAAAGACTTGAAAGACGACGAAGAATCACTTTGACAATTTCCTCAATTCCGATTTTGACCCATCTTAGTGCGATATTCGGGGTCACGTGCCACGTTTCACACTCATAATTTCCCTGTAGCCTGTCAACTGTTTTCTACGAATTTGATAGATATTCCTCACATTTTGATGCAATCTGTCCCGTAGCCCCGAACACCGCACCCTAATCGGACAAAATCATAATTTAAGAAATTGTCCTCCGAATACCCCTCGACCTTCAAAATTCATCGTATATTTCCCTCAAGTTTTCCTGCATATCAACGATCGGCATCGGTTTTGCAATGAAATTTTAATCTGGAAAACAGATACCTCTCGTTGCTATGCAAAAAAAAAATTGGGAAATATTCGATAATTTTGAAGGTCTTGGGGTATTATAACTGACAATTTTTTGCTTTCATCAGTTCACTCACATAATCAGTTCTTATCAATTATCTTCCGAAGCAGACTTGGTGTCCTAGTTTTTGCTATTGATCTCTCAGTAGTTAAGTGGCAAACAAGGAATGAATCAAAAACGAATTCCTTCGTTATTGTACAAATATCGTTTAAAATAAAGAGATATTAGGGTTTTTTAAGAAAAAAGGTCTATTGATTTTGATTTTTTTTTCCTTTTCGATAATTAGAAATGATCAATTTTGTTGATAATGAGCCATGTAATTATGGAAGGACTTGTTCTGGGAAAAATAAGCATTCTCCTTTGAACCTCATAGTTCCAAACATATTTGCAAACAAGAAATTTGGATGAAAATTTTGGTTTTGCTTTATTTCACACTACTTCATAGATTTAATTGTGCGAGAATCCATAAACAAATAAAAAATCTGAATTGTCATAATAGACTGAAATTAGGGCACTTTGAATTGATAGAATTTGATTTCACAATAAAAGAATAGAAGCATTGTATTATAGAGAACAGCAAGAAAGTCTGGTTTCTTTCAACACAAAGTTCAAACATAGATTTAAACCTAGATTTGGAAAAAACAAGTGACAAGTAGTGATAACTTTATACAATTGAAATCAGATTTGATTTCAATTCAATTAGTTCCCGTTCATCTTTTGAATTTTTCTTAAGAATTTTCGAGCTGAAATATTACGAATTGAGCTTCTGATCGCTTTAGAATGGACATCGATCAAAGAAATGGCAATTTCACAAATATTATAAATTTTGTCAGAGCAACATCGACGTTACCAAAGTTCTCCATCTTTTTCTTTTGCAGGGACTTCGATAACTCGAGGTTTATCAATGATTCTAGCGGTGCGATTCCCCTTCTCGACAATTCCAATGATCCAGGCCTGATAGCCTTCCTGCTTTTCGATATCTTTACAGTAAGCTGCAGCCTGTTCTCGTGGTAAGCAGATCAGTAGACCTCCACTGGTCTCTGCCGAGTGACCCTGGAGAAGTTGGAACATGTTGCCGCAGGCCTTTGCCACCGCTGCCATTTTTGCTATCACAGGCAAATTGTGAATCACGAAGGACACTTCATTCTTTTGGTGTTTTGCTAGGTTCTGGGCGTGGCCTAAAAGGCCAAACCCTGTAACGTCTGTTGCCCCGTGAGCGTTGTATTTGTGCATTAAACGTGCAGCTGGAAACAAATAAATTATTGGACTGTTCATAATTGAGATTCGATATTATTACCATTGAATAAGCAATATACCGCCGAATGATTTAAATAAACCCGTTCACACACACACATATATATATATATGCCCACGTTTTAAAAATGATGTATTTCTAATTTTCAGACTATAATTAGTAATTCTGACGTGTTAGTTGGCGACTTTTCGCAAAAAGTCACCGATTTTGATCCTTTTTTTTCAAACTGCTTGGAACCAAATGCTAAACAAATTTCATTTACAGCCAAGCTGGGCTTTTGATTTTTAATTTTTTTTCAAATCATTTCATATGAAGCTATGTTGCAGTACAAATGGGCGGAATTTCATAATGAATCGAATGGGTTTTCATTTATTTTGCTAAGTGCAATAGATGTCGAGATATCAATGTTTGTTTATCGGAGCGTGCTGTGAACTCAGTGCTCTCTGTCTCACGCAGAAGCTGATATAAGGTTGGCTTTCTTGGCTTGGCTCGTCGAGTCTATGCCAGTTTGTTCAACCTCCTTTAGCGCAACGCTTCATTAGCTAAAGCAGCGTTAACTTCAAAGTGCCTTCAACTTTTTGTGCGCTATCCGTGTCTGACTCCGCACTCTAATGGACGCAGTAGCGCCATTAGCTCTTAAAGGCACCACAGTTGAAGGATAGTTGTCAATTGTTAAAGCTACTGTAAAGCTAACAGAGATTGAACAAAGGTTGAACGGTCCGTAAAAATATTACCTCACTCGTATTAATATTCCCTCATTACACTGTTATGTCCTGACGAACTTACTAGGAGGATAGTGGCGCCAAACCAATCAATAGCGCCGAATTTGAATGTGAGATCGTTAGTCGCCAAAGCTCTAACGAGCACTCCACCGAAATTCAAAGGGATAATCCAAGGATATCGGAATGGAAAGGTTGATTATGGAGTAATTTCCAACACAAGTGCTAGCAGAGCACATTAACACTTTTATTCAACTTCCAACTTTAAAACTTTTCACTACAAAACTTGAATAAAAACTGACTGACTTTACGAAAAACTCTAACTGAAATAAAAGACAATTTTGAAGAGAGAAGCTGGAAGCTGAAGGCTTGTCGTAACTTTATCTTAGACTTAAATTTTACAGGGTCCAACAACCCTCACTAGTCTAAAAGTTGCGCACGCATTTTGGTGGGAGTAGGAGAAAAGGGGAAGTGAGCAGGAATGGAAAGGGAAATCAGGGATGAAGGGGAGAGCGCGTGACGTCAGAAACTCGGGGTTTTCCCCGGACTCAGGCCCTCAACTCCGCGACACAATGAACAAAGGACCTCACACGTGTAGGAACAGAAAAACTCTCGAGCCACATGTTGGAACAAAAAAAAACTCTTGAAGAAAGCAGAATCGAGATTTTATGACTTGAACCGTGACGATTTGAGGATTTGTTTCCTCTTTCGAATTTTGAGTTTCGGCAAAGTATCTATGCGACGAAATTTGAGGATAATAAAAGTGACAACTAAAATTCAAGAGTTTGAGATTTACGCTTTCCGTAACGGATTTTCTCACGTTCGTTGAGTTGTTTTTCTTCCTTTGTCCATTGTCTATTCTTTTCTCTTATTTTCACTATTTTCTGCGTTTGGATTTTATTTCAAATTAATAATAATAACTCTTTGAATCTCGCGGACTAATATGGCAGATAAATAGTGCCACCCAGGACGTTACAACACTTATAACGTAGTATACTATTCAGTCTATAGCGTGATACGTCGCTGCAATAGCTTCTTTCCCCACTACGGTTTCTCTGTTTCCTTCCTCCTAACTCATGGAGAATAGAGAGGAGGCTCAACCACTGAAATCCTTTTAATAAAAAACATGCATTGGAAACTGTCATGGCCGCGCACGAACGACGCATTTTCATGTGAATGTTCATGAGAATCCGCGAGGCGAGCGCGACGGTTCTATTTGAAAAAAGTAGGCGTGAATTATGAAGCGGACTGATAATCTGAATGAAGAAACAAATATCGTGTCTACAATACGAGATCGGCCGCGCGTGCTGCGCACGGGCCTTCTCATCTCCTCACGTAGTGGCGCTTCGGTTTCAGTCTTACACTTACGCTTATTCGAGATTTTCGAGATACTTCGAGATATTTCGAGATCGATTTGCTTTCTCCTTTTTACGATAGGAAATACATCGGTGCATATTTTCTACACGTGGTTTCGTTTATAATCAGTGGAATTACATTTTTTTGGTGATGAGAGTTGAGAATTGACAAGGTAGTATCTAGAGGTAGAGAGAAAAATTGACAGATCAAATTCCTAACTAACATAAATAATTTGTTTTCGATTTTTTTCATTCGATTATTGTTTAATGAAATCAATATTAATCCACAAAACCGAAGAATATTTAATTTTCTCAATAGAATGAAAAAGACGGAATACTTTTTATTCCAAAATTTTCACTTATCCAATTTATCAATTGCATTGACTAGGATAAACTCGAAAATAAAGGATGGATTCGGTATTCGAACAAAATTCCACAAATACTTGGTTTTTTCAACATTCCCTTCTTAGCAATAAATAATGGAATGGTTCAAACTACCAAACATATAATTGTTGTGGCATGTAATTGATTTTTGGTTAAATTCTGTGATGAGAAAGAATAGTTACAACTCAGGAAAAATTATTCTCGGAGTGAAAAATTGATTATGATTGAATCATTTACTTTTAAAAATGGTCATGGTCTCCAAAAATCGAGATTTTTCAATCATTTCATTAGTCTATTTCGAAAAGTCAACTTACTATTTTTTCCAATTGTTAAAAAAGGTTCTCTCGTAACTATGAGTAAATAGCAGCTGTACTGTTGACAAAAAAAAATGAAATTTCAAAGAAAGTCAATTAGAATCGATAGCTAGAATTATAAGAATGTCTGACATATTTGACGTCAAGTATAGGTGAATCTAAATGTACTGAAAGTGAAGATAATTTTTTTCACTTTGAAAAAATAATAATGATAGCTAAATTGAAAAATTGTATGATGAAGTGACGATATTCTACGCAGACAATTATATTGATGATATGAAAAGATTGATTGAATTAACGAGTGAATTTATTGAAAAAAGTCTACAACAGTAAACAAATATTGAATGTGGCAGGAAAAAGTGTATAGAAAATGCCATCAACGTCACAGCCGCAATTGCGTTATAAATATGAACAGGGACCCGCTCAGCTTGACTGAGATAATAATGCAAAGCCGAAACTGGTAAAACTATAGAAATGTGAAAATTTCAGAGTAGGTCCTATTTCTGGGCGCTCATTAAGAGAAGATTTTTGGACATTAATCACTGTGTTTTAAATTCTTTAGAAAATCCATCTCTAAAAGGATGAATAGGAGATAAATTATAGGCATTTCAAGGAAGCTCACAGGTTTCCTAAAAAATTAGAGGATTGTCGTTTTTTTTTGCAGATGTATAATAATTAGAGAGTTTTTCAGAAAATTGAATACAATTATGAGGGTTTCTCTGTAAATTTGAGAAATTCCTCGGATTTTCTCAACAATTTCACAAAAATTTCGAAGTTATTTTATATTATTTCGATGAAAAAATTCCTCGAGTAAAAAATTGATGAGGATTGAATCATGTATTTAAAAAGATGATTCATGGTCTCCGAAAATCTCCGAAAATCATTTCATCTGAAACATTAATATGAATGTCAGATGCACAAAAAAAATAAAGTGATGACATTCTTATCTAAGCAACCAATTGCGTTCATGACATTGTGACGAAGTGGGTGTGTTTGTGTCCTCGATTGGACGTGTGGGGGTAAACAATAACAATTAATGATTATCGATGCTCATATACACCGGTGGCTAGAGTAGAGGTTATGAATGAGATTACCGAATGAGTGGGTTCCGAGTGTCAACGAGGAGTCCTGACTGACTTCACCGTCACCGAGAAGTCGTTCGGCACCGGAGGGAACCATCATCAGCCTGAGAGAAAATAGATCACGACGACCAGAAGCCGTAAAAAGGAGCAAAAACACCACAGTTACCTCTCCGCACTCGGGTCACAAACACTTGGCATTACCGGAAGAATTCAGATCTCCTGCGGACCCAAAAGAATATGCCACGAGGGCGCAGCACGTTCCGGAGCTCACACAAACACACGCATGCAAACCGTCAATAGTATGGGTAATCGCTGAGGCCCACCCTGGCGACTGAGGAGCCCTATACTAGCCCCATGTTCGGGGGCAGTCGGGGGCAGACATTTTTTGGGCTAAAAAAGGGTAAATGATGCCCAAAAACATTGTAGAAGTTCATTTATAAATTATTTATCAATGTTTGCATCGTTAATTGCCCTGATTTTCATTAATTGACGAAAATAAATGTAAGTGTATGAAATGGATATATAAGCCTGTAGGGAGAATTCCGTCAGGTGGCGGCCGTGTCGACTTCCTGTGGCGTTCCCGCCATTACCAGCAGTGAGCCCGCCGACTGCTGTACCGACGGGACCCCAACAGCGCCGCCAGCGCAAGCAACAACTTATCCCTAGGCGCGACGACGACTGAGGTGTCGCGCACTAGAAACTGAGTATTATTACTAGCCCGTTAACGCGCCACAGCTATGGCCAAAGCGTCTCTTTTGTATTCGAAGTTTAATAAGTTTATAATAAATACTATTTGTGGTTAATTGATAAATATTAGTCATTACGTTATCCTGATTCGATTTCCCGCACGAATCATCACTTTAAAACCACATTCCTGACTAGGTCGGTAGCAGTGGCGGGGGGGATGTTGTAAAAAAAATGTCTAATGCATGTTTCTATACAAAGGAGTTTATAATTAACTTCCCTATCGCGTATGTACACAAATATATACTATGCAAACTTGGAATTATTTGATGATTTAAGGTCTAATGATGGGGCATGGGAGGCCGGCTGAATTTCACTAAATAAGAAAAATTGATTTCTGATCATTTGAAATGTCACGGTGGGGGAGGGGGAACTCTAGAGCCATATTTTT